ACATAAAATTACTTTTGCACCAAACAGGCAAAGCATTGCCCTAAATTAAAATTTCTTTGTGGTGAAGTATAGTAAGTGTTAACACCTTTACTTACGTTTGACCTGGTATTCCTTAATACAGACTTATGGTAGAAAATGCTGACTAATCAAGAGGAAAAGCAAGTTGAGAAAACTTTAGTATTAGTTTGTAGATTGTTTTTTTTTTTTTGGTTGCTGTTTGTCAGCATGAACATTTGCTCTGAAAATGATAATTTTAGGCTAGTTAGGATAAGAGCTAATAAATGGTAGTAGATAATGTTCCAAGTGTTAGTCACAGACACATGCATGCTATTCTGGATTTGTTTTATATTGAGAACAATAATATTATAAATCATCTATAGTTCTCATTTTCTTTCCTAAAATGCTGTTACCAAAACAAGTTATATATAAACTAAATGAGCAGAATTGCACATGTGGGATTTTTTGGTTTTAGTACCAAAAATGTACTTTTTTTGTGGCCTTTCTAAATGTGTGTAAGTTCTTCAGACCATCTGGAATGGATATAAAATCTTTTTGTGTACTTTTACTATCAAGTAATTATGAACAACTCGGTATTTTTTTTTAACTTAATGTGAATAAATTGTTTTTCTAAAGTAAAGAGCACACAATCTGTTAAAATAGTGAGTGTACCATTATAATCTTCGATAACGTTTTTCAAGGATGCCCTCCATCCATGACAAAAAGGGAAGCCTGAGTTTAGGGACTGGCAGTTTGTAGCAGCATGGTTCCAGTAATTAGAGGGAAAGACTTTTAGACAGATTCGGAGAAAAATTTTAAGACACACTTGAGAGTAAACCAGGCTTTGTTACACTCTCTTTCAGAGTTGCTCAAGTGATTGATGGTACATGTCGTCTCAAAAGAAAAGTGTCCTTTTCTCATGCAAAAAATCTTTCCATTCCAAAGTGTGATTTTGTTTTATTTTGAGTACTTCAGAAGATTTAAAGAAATCACAGTTGTTTTTTTTCTAATGAGTGTTTTATGCTGGTTTATATGTGATTATTTTCACTGGTTTAAATAATTATTTGCATTAATGTGATGATACCCTTTCCCTCATTGCTCGAAAGAGCACTCACCTGCATGTCCTTATAAAATAGTTGATTTTTTTTTTTTTTTTTAGGAATAACAGTTAAGTTGAAAGTCAGAAGTTAATAAAATGATAGTTCAGAAAAATAGTAGAGATGGCAAAGGTGAGTGGATTTAGCTTCTGGTAAATATTCAAGAGTTCCTGTAAAACAGGGACAGAAAATCTTATTTCTTCTTGCTATCAGAAGACTTATTTTGAAAGTAAGGGGCAGATTAAAAGTGGAAGATTGGAAAGCCCGTATCCTTTAACTGGGTTAGCTTGTGAAGGGGGTGGTGTAGTTGAGCAGCGTGCAAACCCGTAGCTGGTAGCAGGTGAGGTGTGATGGTGGCTCAGATATACCAGCTGACAGGTTGGAGAGGACTGATTTGGGAGAGTTGGGGTGTTCAGCCTGGAGAAGAGAAGGCTCCGGGGTGATCTTATAGCAGCCTTCCAGTACCTAAAGGGGCTACAGGAAAGCTGGAGAGGGGCTTTTTACAAGGGTATGTAGTGATACGACAAGGGGCAATGGATTCAAACTGAAAGAGGGGAGATTTAGATTGGATGTAAGGAAGAAATTCTTCACTCAGAGGGTGGCGAGGCACTGGCACAGGTTTCCCAGAGAAGTTGTGGCTTCCCCATCCCTGGCACTGTTCAAGGCCAGGTTCGATGAGGCTTTGAGCTACGTAGTGTAGTGGAGGGTGTCTCTGCCCATGGCAGGGGGTTTGGAACTAGATGATCTTTGAGGTCCCTTCCAACCCAAACCATTCTGTGATTCTATGATAGTGCTCAGGAGGGAGGCAGTGCCAGGCAGCGGGAGTGGGAACTTTGGATCTGGGGAGGGGGTCTGAGGGGGTGACTGCCCCGGCTTCAGTGCCTGCAGCTGGAGAAAGGCACTTGCCTCAGGAAGCTGGAGAAGCTTTGCCAGGAGAAAATCTGGAATAACCCAGGTAAAAGGAGAGGGAATAACATGTAGATGGTGAAGCGGTATAGCTTGTTAACAAAAGCGCAGGATAAAGGTGTTGCCTTTTTACTGGAATGACTATATGTACAAGACTTAACAGTTCCTGCTGTCTGACACTGCCTAGTGAAAATTCCCAGGGTAATATTTTTATAAATGGGTTATGGATACTCATACAAACAGATCAGGAAATGATCCGATCCTACATGGTTGGTTTTTGACAAAATTGATGAGAGGATACATGGTGTGTATGTACATGTCTGATTCAATATAAGCTTTGCATAAGGATTGTAGAGCTGTCATACTCAATGGACCTGTAGGTGAAATTTTGCTGTTGTTTCTAGTGTTTTATATCCTCAAAGTTTACAGTTTTGGTAAGAAAATAAATATTTTATTATTTTTACCTGTTCAACTTCTGACAAAGTAGCATCTCAAGTTTGTTTTTTGCTATCTTCATGTCATAGCAGCATTACCACTCAGTTTCTTGAAGTTTGTCAATAATTTTGAACAGTGAAAGCTTTTTAAAATGGGCTTTTTATTATTACCGTTAACAGAGTCAGTACTTTTTTTTGTCAATAAGACTGTACCTATTATTTTACTCAGAGTTTAACAAAATTTTATGGTTTTTATTTACTTTCGTATTCTCTTGAGGAAGCAAACGTTTAAGCAATAACTGAGTTTCTTTTGTAGGTGTACATTAATTGAGATTAAACATAACTTTTCAAAGTTGCTAAATTAGAGTGAGATATTCTAGATAACTTCAAGTTTTACTTGTATTTTAACAGTGAAAGCAAGTTGAATACATTGGTGCAGAAACTTCATGACTTCTTGGCTCACTCATCGGAAGAATCTGAGGACGCAAACTCTCCTCCAGCATCATCTAAAAACAAAACCATAGGTAAAAGACATTTCATGTTTTTATTTTCAATGTATATATGATTGTAAAGTCGAGTCACTTTGGGCTGTTATTTCACTGTATCACACTTTACTGGGGCAATTACACAAAGTCCTAATGTGATTTAAGTGGTGATATCTTAATAAATATACAGTAGGCCTTTGATACAGTATTTCATTCAGTTCTGAATCTTTTCTAAACATGAAAAAAACCCTAATTCTACTGGTAATTTACCTTCTATGAAACATGAGATGGCAAACATTCCTTCTTCAGTTTTCCTGAATGTATAAGTGCAGTATCTTGATTTTTTTTCTGATGAAGTAAAGCTTTTACGGTCCTTGTAGTTGTGGAAGAAGTTCTGGAGATTATGCTTTCATAATTATTTGAAAAAGATTTCTAATTTGGAAACATTTGAAAACAAAATAATGCTTCTGAAAAACCTTGAGTCCTGCACTAGGTCAAATTTGGTATTAGAAATTTCTACTTACAAGTTAGAAGTAGGTAATGAATTTTAAACACTTCAATTACAGTCATAAAAAGTGAAATTATTTTGTAACAGTGCTGAATAAAACTTGTTTCCAAATTCAATTAGGTTAAATCTGATTCCTTGTTTAACTAGAACTGGATACAGGTGCAGAACCTTTCAGTCTCTCCTGTTTAATGAGCTAAAAGTTGTGCTGGAGTGATAGAGTAGGGCAGAATGAGAGTGTGTTGGCTGTGTTATGGAGTTTATTTGCAAACTCCTGTTGTCCTGAGTAATGAATTTACCTGGGTTTTCCGGTGTGCAGCTACTATCTGTTAATGTTTTGTCCTGAGAGAGAATCTGCTGCCCTGTGATGCCACCTTCTTTGTGTCAGCATCAAACTAAACTGTTAACATAGGAAAAATAAATTATTCATGTGATATTTCAGCAGAACAATAAACTAAACTGTGATGTAGGTGCATTTCAAAGTGAAATTTCTCTGAAGAACATACTGGGAAAAAGAAATCTTTTCCCTTTATCCTTTGTAGTTATGCAGTAGAATTTGGCTCCTTGCCTTAAAATAGAGATTTACTTTGAAGCAGGGGTACACTTACTAATTAACAGTAGACATGTTTCAGTGTTGTTTTTGAGATCTCTGGTTTTATTTCTTAAAAACATATTAAAGTTGAAAAGCCAAGAATTAAACACTTCTTAAATATTAGGAAATGCCAGAATTAACTGTGCAAATTTATTTCCTCTCCCAGCTTTCTGTGCATAATGATAATGTCTTCAGCAACTGTGCTTTTTTTTCTGTTTTCTTTTTTTTTTTTCAAATCCACAGGCTGCTCGTTCAGTGTACAAGTGATAGACATGACTGGGGCCACATCAGGTTTATGCAGTAATGGATCTGGTTTTGTTCCAGCATTTGGAGGATATGTGAACTACTAGGTAGAGAGTTGTGAGGAAGGAGGTGAAGATGGTTCAGTGTGGCTCAGGAGAGTTGGGACACATCCCTGCCACACACACAGGTCAATTACAATACGAAGCAATCACTCGCTGAGCTCTTCCATCTTGTGCACTGCTGTGGAGCTGGGCTGTGCCAGAATGCAAATGTGCTAAGAACCAGTAACTTCCATTCTGGCTTTTCTTAGTTTTTAAGTACTTGATTTTACAGCCTTAATGATGTTTCTTTATCTTCTGCATTCGAATTGGATGTCTCCCTCCTCTACATTGCATGGGTGCCAGCAGGAGAATCACGGAGAGTGTAGGAGAGACTGGCTTCCTGCTCTTGCTTCGAGTGACCGGCTCCTGCCCTGGAGCAGCGGTCACAGGGGGAATCCACACACATCCACACATCCTGAAGTGGATGGAGCCTGTGCAGTTGGGTCAGCGTTAGGAGCTGTGAGGGAGTGCAGCATGCTCGGCTGTTCTGTGGGGATGGTGCATGCACAGTCCAGTCACGTGGAAACTGGCAATGGAGCATGTTCAGTTGCTTTTGGGAGTCACACGTGCAGTCTGAATGCAGAATCTGCAGAGGTTGTAGCTGCCAGAATCAAAGAAATCTCTACCGAGCAGGTACAGACTGGTATTTTCCATGGATTTATCACTTGGGCAAAAATTGGTCAAGAGTAGAAGGTGGGAAGCATCTAGGCTCCAGAAGAAATGTCACCTTTCTTCCAAATTTCAGATTTTTCCTCAGAATAGGGAAAAAGCTTGTAATATTCCAGAGAAGAAATGTCAGGTACCTAAAAGGGCCAAACCCCTTGTCTGTTTCTGTTTTTTTTTATTCCCCCCTTCCTTAGCTTCCCATGCTGAAATGTCTGGATAATTTTGGCTGAAATTTACCTGAACAATTCAGTGTGGGTCAAATACCCGAGATTACATTTTCTAATCAAAGTAATTTAATTTTTTTGAAGCGTAAAAAGAAAATTGTTTGTTTTTTTTTTTTCCCAAAGCTGAAGTGTAAGGATGTAGTAAGTTGCAGTTCTGACAGTCTTATGTTAAAATCACCAATGGCCTTTATGTGTCCTGTAATTATGCTACGACTTTACTTGCATGTTTCTCAGTGGTGCATACATTAAAATACTGCTATTACTAAGTCTTTTGAGCAACTTTGTGCAGATATCAGTGAATCACTGAACTTGAAACTTTCTGTTACCTGGACTGATGGGTGGAACAAATACTAGTAGGTTGCATGTCTTTTGGTTTTATGCTCGACAGTTCCCAAGGTTGAGAAATGGGAATTCTCTATCATACCCTGTATCAAATGGGATTTTTGTCTGTGGTGCCACGATCCCAGATTTAATATTGTGGTTTTAGTGTCAAGGTGTGTAAGAGAAAATACTTAAAGTGACTTGTTAGAGATTAGAAAACTGCACTAACTATGTTTTATTTCTGTATATACAGTTGCACTTTGGTTTCATCAGTATTTCATCACCAGTGACAACATTGTCTTTCAGCCTATCAGCGACTGAACTGAACGTAATTTCTAAATTATTTCTGTAGGATTTACCCAATACGGTGGATTGTGTTGTGCTGCGCAACAGCTTGTTCACACTGGTGAAACAAACAGTGCTATGATGTACAATGTGAAGATCTTTTAATATTTCTTGCATTTCAGTGAATTCCTTTAATTTCTCTCCATAGGTAAAAGTAGAGAACCTAAAAGTAGTCCATCTTCAATGGAGAACAGTAGAGAAGAGGTAGGAATAACAATGCCTTGAATTTTAGTTGCGCGACTAGTGCAGAATGGCTGGTGTAGGAGATGCTGAGTTCACTTTGTTGCTTTTACAATAGAGACTTCAAGAATATTGTCAGAACTGTGGAGTAATGTCATCATATCTGCTGAATGGAAACATTAGCTGTAAAATATTATAAAACAAATTTAAAATTAAATTTTAAATTTTAAGTGATACTTTAATTTAGGCATATGCAGTCGATGCTGTTTCTCTCCCCGACTCCCTTCTTCATTTCTAAATTTTTTTTTTGGTAAGAGCACCAGTGACTTCTGAATGTGTTCTAGTTAATGTAAGAAACTGTTTTTGTTGGCAAGTTACTTGGTGACAAATGTGTTTAATTCTTAATTTTTTCTTGTTTTTAGGGCAGTAGTTCTTCAGAAAGAACCAAATCCTTAGGATCATCACGTTCAAAAAGGTTGGTTTGGAAAATAAAAATAAATAAATTACTTTTTGGCATATGAAACTACAGAAAAGTCCATGCGCTCTGCCACATACTTTTAGTATACACTAGTATAAATCCATTAAGTGAGCAGAGTGCTGGTAAAACAAATGCTTCATAGTGCACTTAAAATTCAAACCATCTTTCAGGGTCAAAGGTTAAGATCATAAAGCCTGATTTTTATTAACAAAGACAACAAGATTATCCTGTATCTTCAGGACAAAAGTGTTCATACAATTGTTCCTTCACTCTTGCTATTCCTATGTGCAGGATTCTTCCCAAAACGTGAATTGGGTCATATGGAAAAAAGGCTTTTTGTACCTTACTGTTGGGAGACTCTAGAATCAAAATGTGCTTTAAGTTGTCCTGTGCAGAAACTGCCATTTGCTGTATCTCTGCTTAATCCTTTTTTGCTCTTTGATTTAAAAAAAGTGAGGAGTTAACTGTTTACCAGCCAGTTTTGAACCTACAGGAGAGAAATTATTTTTGACCTAAGTAACAGCAGACTTATTCCAGTAAAACTCGTTCTCATCTCTTGCTCTCAGCTGATGCTCATTCAAGTGATGTCTTTCATGATTTTTTAAAATCCTGGTATACTGTATAAATAGGTGAGCTCTTGTAAATGCACCGTTTCAACAGCTGCCTTCTTACTGCTCTTTAAAAGTGTTGTATCTCTCTTTTCACTTTCCTTTTTATCCAGATTTGTTTATTTTATCATGTCTGCTGGAATTAAATAATATTCTTAATTTGCCCTTTCCTGTTTGTCTTGATTCCGTATTTGCAAGTGTGGTTTTATGTTCGACTTTAATTTGGGGGTTTTTTTGCTTCCTGTCTATCACTAAAGGTATTTTCACTCATACATTTATCATACTCTGCCTGATACTGGCAAAAACAGTATCCTACAGTAGTTCATGTTTCAAACTACTGAAAATTATGCTCAACATTCTTCCCCCCTCCCTTTTTTTCTCTCTGCTCTGACATAGTAAATTCATTCATTTTAATGGTTTGAGTTCTAAATTACGTTTGTGTGCAATTCTGGTAACTGGTCTTTTTATTCAGCAGTCAGCTTTTTCATTTCTTTGTGCATTTCCTTTATTTCCTTGCAAGCATCCTTTCTGGCAAGCTGCTTTTTGTCATTTGCTAATATCTACGTGTTCTCTTTGCGCTGCCTGTTAAACTCAGAATGACGTATAAAATTTCTGAGCAGACAGTCGCTTGTGTTTCATTCAGGCTTTTTTCCTAGAAGTGTGACTTTCCTGCATATCTTCTTAAAAACACATCAAACCTTGATTTGACAAAAAAACCTACAGCAAGCCTGTGAAACAAAAATACACTATTAATATGACTACTTATTTCACGTAGGAGGGCAGAATTCCTGTTTCTAAGAAGAAAATTAGCCTACAACTTATTGTAATAACTCAGAGCATCCCACCTCATAATGTCTTAAATGAATTTAAAAAGAACACAGGTTTCCCCAATTAGTACGGTGTCTTGCTTGCAAAGCGCCAGGCTTACCTGTATTGCAGTATGTAATATTTGTCACGGTATGGGTTTTTTTTCTGTCTATGCAGGAAACCTACAATTGTAACAAAATATGTTGGATCAGATGATGAACAAATCTTAGATGAAACTGTAAATGAAGATATTTCAAATGAGAACTCAGAAAACGATGTTGATATGAAAAGCTTGCCTAAAGGTAGTTCATGTCTGTCTGTGTTTTTGAATTCAGCACGTTAACCAAGATTATGATGCAGCATAAATAATTAAGTAGAATGCACATGTATTAGTAAAATGCCTGTCTTGGGTCCTGGTGGCTTTTATATATGAACATACATGCTGCGCACGTGCATTTAGAAGAGGAAACCGAGCAACTTTAGTTTTGAACCCAGCATCCTTGAGTCTGTGGGCACACCAGCATGTGCTGGTGGCTTACTGTTGGATGTCTACTGACATCTGTGTAAAACCAACGTGAAACAGGGGAAATTATTTGTTGGTGTTCTTTCATAGAGGTCTCAAACTCTGTCATATGCAAGTCTTAATTATTTTACCATTCTGTCTTTGAGGTTACTAACATTAGATAAAAAAAGCAAAACTAAATCTAGTGGGGGGAATGTCATTGGATCTATTCTTAAGCACCTTTTTAAAACAGTTAATATAAACTATAAGCCCACAACCAGTTCTTCTTAACTATAGTGTGAATTTGATTAATCTCTTCCAGTTCTTACCCGTGAAAGTCACAGGACAAATTGGAGGGACTGCTGCTGTTTACTGCATGAGTAGCAGTATTTAAAGCAGTCACTTTAAAATTATTTTTTCAGAATGTTAGATTATTTCCAGTGTCCTCACAACAAAAGTATTAAAACTGAGCTCCTAAGTAGGAAGGATGTTTTTTCATTCACACAATTTGGATTAGTACATTTCTCTGTTTAAATAAAAAAGTGACTTTCTGCATTTTGCGAGAGACAGCACAGGTTTTATTCTATTGCTTTTTTTATTTCTTTCATTCTGAAATAAGATCAGGAAAACTGGATAGAAGGGGGAAAAGTGAGAAAAGAGTAGTTACTCTAAGGTTTTTGATAGATTTAAGTGACCTAACCAAGGTCCTTTATTCGTAGCATTGCACTGCAAGTTCCAGTACTAAACACACCTGGCAGTATGACAGTCCCGTTCTGCGTGTACCACGTCAGGGCAGAGAGCAGAATGGGCTCCTCAGCCCGTTCAGGCTTTGGCTTTTGTCTTACAACTGCAAAACAGACGTAGTTTGAAGTGTGTGGTGGGATTTTTTTGTTTGTTTTGTTTCTTTTTTTTTTTCTGTGAACATTTGTGCATTCGAAACTTTGTTGAGTTTTAGTCAACAGATTGCACTTTTTTTTTTTAAGGTACTATGTTGGCTTTTATTTAAACAGGACTTTTGCACTTCATTTGGATGTGTAATGGTTTCCAATTTCTGAATAAAATTACTCTAGGTACAGTGGTTGTACAGCCTGAGCCAGTGCTGAATGAAGACAAAGATGATTTTAAAGGGCCTGAATTTAGAAGCAGAAATACCGTTAAAATGAAACCCGAAGCTCCCAAAAAGCGTGGAGGTAAATACAATTTAAAACATTTATGAAAACGGGTTTAAATTGTTGCTTATGACCACATTTGGTACATCTAAAAATTGTTCACATTTGTAAGAAATTATCCTAAAAATACCTCCACTCTTCTGGCTTTTTGTTGGTGAAGGATGCTAGCTGGCTGAAGTTAGCCTCCATTGCTGCCCCTGCAGTGCAGCAGTGAAAGCTAAGATTAGTTCTCATTGAACTTCTTATTCCAGAAGCTGTAGGATCCATCATTAGGTGCTCCATATGAACCTTTTTTGCTTTGTACTCAGAGCAGTTGCTTCGTTGCAATCAGGTGTTACAGATATTCCTGTTTTAAGGAATTATATCGGAACGCCTGATACAGGAACATTCACTGACTCACCGAGACAGCAACTGTGTTTGAGCAGGGACACGTGTAGGCATACTACCAATCAGTGAGCTAACAAGAGCCCTAAAACCTCTAACAATTCAAAGGCTTTTTTGTTTTGTTTTTAAATTGTGGGAAATTCCCTACCAGTTGGGCCCTTCTAAGGATTATCTTCAAAAAGCTGCTGTGCCAGCTGATTTTCCATAGCCGCTGCTAAAACTGAGGAGAAGTTAGGTGTATAGCAGTGATAACAGAAATTCCTCTCTCTCGTTTTTTTCCAAAAAGTAAAGGAGAGAGAGGATTATATATAAAGTAGCCAGTAAGAAGGCAGATATTTTCATTAATATCGCTAGCAATACCTTAGTTCACCCACCTACAGCAGTACCCAGGATATTCAGACACACTATTCATTCTTCCCATTGTATCATTTGAGATACTTGCTGTGTTTTAAAGTGTTACTATAATTTAGTAAGTGCTATTTCTCCATCTGTGGTTGAAGAGGAGTAAAATGTGACTGTCGAAATGTGCTTTTGTATACACATGGGCTCCTGCGTGATTGCAGTCACATTTTGAGCATTGACGTTTTCTCTAAGTTATTCATCTTTGACGGTCAGTTTCGTTCTGTTCATGCAAGATGGCTTATTCATGTAGGAATGCTTTTTCATTTGTGTTTATAACAATTTTACAAAAGATCCAACATAAATCTTCAGGAGTATAGTGTTAAAAAGATAGGACTCTTCTGCTCGAGCTTGGTCACCCGTGTCTGCATCCCCTGGACAATTCATCTGACCTGCCCTTTCAGTGTTTTTCTCCATCCCTAGAGAATTTGCAGGCTTCCTTTGTCTGTCTGGACTTGTTGCTCATGTACTGGTGCCTGACATAAGATGATAGTTTGGAAGTGATTCCAGGAGTTAGTTTAGGCCATACCTGTAATCCAGGGCAAGCTCAGTGATACCTGTGTCACTACTAATAATCTTTGACTTGATTTTAAAGCTCTCCAGTACGTGTGTTAAGCTCCTGTCGACTTTCAGGGTAGGCAATAGGTACTGTCTGCTCCTGCCTTGTCCCCGTTTCCAGACCAGGAAAGGTCGCCAGGCCAGGGACGTGACTGCAGTCTACCTCAAAAGCAGCTGGATGAGGGATCTGTCAAAACAGTTTTATTTTGTAACATGCACAGGAGAGGTGATGCAGATGCATTTGTTCTGCCCCTGCATGCAGCAAGTCTAGTTCCATGAAGCGGCGCTTACCTTTCTCTTGCTGCTACAGAACGAGGTCCCTGGCCTGTACATACAGAGCTCAGCATTACCGATTCAAGTGGGTTAGCGTGTAGTCCCAACTACTCGAGATCCTGAATTCTGTGCACGGTGCAAGTAAATAAATGATAACAATAAAATAAAAAAATGCCAGTCAGTCTTGTTCTTTGCGGAGTGCATCTTTGTGTTTTTCTTATGGCTTATATGTCCTGTTTGTGTTAGAAGTGGTAGCAGTAGTAGTACTCTTGCCTTTCTAGCATTCAAATGCTCTTATCCAAGACTGTAAGCAGCATTTTGGCAGTCCTTATTTTCAAGTTTTCTGTCTGCAGAATGGTTGTGGTTGGATTTTTGCTAATAAACTCATAGTTAGGAATGGTTTTTAAGTAAGTATTTCATCAGTACAAATGAATTAGTAGTTTAATTTCTTTGTACCATCATCCTTTGTAGTAGTAACATGGTTTACAAAGGTTTGCCTCATAAATTATTCTCTTTTTTTTTTCTGGTGCCAACTTGCAGACTTTAGGAAGGAGGCAGTAGTGCTTCCCCTTAAAGTTGTAGGGAAGGGAGAAGTGGCTTGGGACTTGACAGTGCATAGTTTGTTCTCTCTCAGTTGACTGTTACCTGCTGCAGTTCTTACACCCACTTAAGGACTGTGATGTTTGACAAAGCTGGGTAGGCTTCTGTGCTGCTTGGTGTAATAGAGCGTGGTAGCCTTTTCCGAGCAGTGCGATCCGATGGACGCGTTTATTTGAGGTTTACCAGCAGTGTTTGAAATGCGTTTGAGCTGTTGGTGAGGTTGTAAGAGGTGTTCTGCAAGTCCACGAGCTCTGCAGTACATGCAATCATGCATGTATTGAAGTGAAAACAGCAAATCTTGTATTCAGAATGTCAGGCCTGCTATTTTCACTGAATTGTAAAGGCGTGTTAGTTGTTCGTACTGAGCTGTAAGCTATTTCAGATGGTAGTAGTTGATATTGTGTCTTGAGAATGTTCATTCAGTTCCATAACACTGTGGTGTTAGTGCTTGGTTCTAATTCTGTGATAGTGATTATTTTTGTAAAAAATAAATAAATATATATAGTCTGTACTTAGACTGTAACCATTAAATCAACTGTTTTGAGTTAATTTCCTTGTACTGCTTACTGTACCTGACAGCAAAGGACAAGCCAGAGTTAAGTGGTCTCATATCAAGCCTTTGTCTGCTTGACCCTAAATTAAGTTTTCCAAAGCGTATAATCTCAGTGTATGAGCTTTCACAAATTATTTTCCTTTTCCTTGAAAGCATCACTGCTGTTGAAAACAAGACAGTCTCATAGTATTAATTAGTTGGTTTAACAGCCTGGCGAGTAGCGAGCCTCCCAACCCCAAGTTCTTCACCTTTCACAGTGAAATGAGGAATTGACATTAAAGAAACGCTTTCTTGACCGAGTGTCAGTACAGCAGCAGAGTGGTGCACAAACTGGGAGCAGTCAGCAAGATGGTGAGAACATCTGTATTATAGCAAAATTGTAGTTTAAAAAAAAAAAATTCAAACCAACAAACCACCAGGGAACAAAACGTGAAAAAAAAGATATTTTTCAGGCACTATTATAAGGATTTCATGCATCTTTTGTAACGATTTCCCATATTTTTCTTTAAGAAACTAAAACTCTATGTGAAAGAAATACTGTAATACAAACATGAATTAAAATGGTATTTTACTAACAAAGATTGAAGGAGGAAGGTTGTACAGAGTATGAGGGCTGCTTTGAAAGAATTTTAGTGATGACTCTTATTTAGATGTGTTCTCATGAGGTGACCAGCTAGTCCAAATTAAATCTCTCGAAGGAAAGACGTTGTATCTTGGCCCCAAGTGAAGTATAGAAATTGGAGGAAAATTATTTCAGTCTTTAAACAGTGAGTGGTTACAGAAAATGTTCTCTAATGCTGGGTGGTAAAGTAATAAAGGCATAAGAAAAACCTAACAGGCCAAAATATTGTAAGAAAATGAAATAGGTATATAAAGACTTCTTAAATAAAAATGAAAACAATTAATGTGTGGTTTATAATCCTCTCTATAGAGGAAGGACTACATGGAATTGTAAGCTGTACAGCTTGTGGGCAACAGGTGAACCATTTTCAAAAGGATTCAATCTATAGACATCCTACACTGAAAGTTCTTATTTGTAAGGTATGTGATAAACAGTTCTACAGTTTGTACTCTTTGTTTTTCTTTGAAATGTCATGTTAGTTGATTTGGATGGGATTTTTGTGGGAGTAGTTCTTGTTTATTAGCCAATAAACTTTTCAGTCCTTAACTGTTACAATTAAGGAAACTAAAAGCAGAAAACAAAAAGGCAAATACAGCTTACAAATTTATTTTCCTGTGTTCTTATACCCCAGTTAAACTCATTGTGGTTTCTTTGTAGCTTATTTTTACAGTTTTAAGGCTTTAATGTTAGTGAATTTTTTATGTTAAATGATCTGTCTGAAGTTTCTGCTTACTCATGCTGTATTATAAGAGCAGATTCAATTCTGGATCTCCTGGTAAAGCATTGTGTGTAAACCAATGTCGGAGTGAGAAGTGGAAAAGTAGCTTCAAAGCCATCTCAGTTTCACTTGTGCGCAGCTCCTGGACTGTTTCAGTTTATGGCAGCCTCTATAACGATGGTCTGGTCTATCACCCAAAGTCAGGATCTGGGTCTTCAGCTACGTAGTTTCATGGTGGCTTCAGTTAGGCCCTAAGTTGCCTGCAGTGGGGATAGGGGGGGAACAGGGAAGGAGGGAAACATCCCTACCTCCTGCTGTGGAGACCTCCTTCAATTTTCAGAGATACATAGAGATATCTTTCTTGCATATTTCCAGTTGTGGAGATTCTGTATTTATAAAGATATCTCTAAAGATCTGTGTTACTATTGATGTTTAGCATTCTCCTCTTCCTTCCTTCTGCTCTCCTCCAGTTTCCAATTAATGTTACACATTAAGCTGACATAATGTCTCAGGCATGTCCATCTAGTCTAATGTTCTGGCTCATTTTTTCTATTCCTTCTGGCTTATTTCTTTTATAAAATATACTTCAGAAAAATCAGCTTACAAGGTGACTGTTTTCAATCTCAATTGGAGTCATAACTCTTGTTCCTAGTCTTCAAAATCCTTAACTTGCAGCTGTGCATGTTCTTGCTGTGCACGCAAGTTACTGGGTTCGTTTTTGAAACTCGTTTGGGGTGTTGGGTTCAATAGCAACTCTTGACTGTGAGCTCTGCTAGATAATTAGCTCACATGTTGCTTCCCATAAATTTTCTGTGTCTTTACTTAATTGAACAAGGCAGTATGTTAATGTCAGAGTGTGGAATGGATATCCCTGGTCTGCATACTCCATGTCTTCCGTTACTTTCTGTGACTGGTTCTTTCCTTATATTTCTCCTGCTTAGGTAAACAGTCCCCGACTTGAGAAGCTGTTTCCCTTTCACTATAAATGTTCTGTCAAGTGTCTAAATGTCAGCTTTTACTGGAGTTTTTTTTGTCGTTTATTTGTTTAGTTTAGTTGCACAGGTGTGTAACTCTCTTCCAGATAAAGGGGTGTCATCGTTTTAAATTCATATTCTGAAGCCTCTAGTGGATTCTGAATTCACTGACTCAGTGGGTAAAGGGGCAAAGTTTAGCTAATAGTTTGTATTAATCCCTGTTCAAAGTACAGCTTCAAGGCTGGGAGAACTTTTTTTACTAGCAACTGGAAAAAACACACCACACCTTCAAAAATTTGCTTAAAAAAATTCAGTAACTGAAGCCACTGCTACTACTAGCTGAGATGTGTATATTTTTCTTACTGTTACCAGTTTTTCAATGAAACTGCATTGCATCTGGCAATTGAAGCCTTGGATGTTAACATTGGGATAAATACTGAAGACTTTTTCATTTAAAACTTTGAGATCAGTATCTAACATAAGGAACATACATCTGAAAATTGTAATTTATGGAGGATTAATTGTGTCAGGGAAGATGTGTTGATTTACCTAGGAAAGAGATGGGAAAAACTTACAGATTCGAAGAGAAACATTCAGTGGTGTTCTAAAATGCACAAATACGAAGCCATCAAACAAAACTTATTCAATTTTCAAATAAACTTTGATCCATCTAAATAAGAAGTCATGGTTTAGGACCTGTTGTACCTATGGAAAATGTTTTTTAGATTAACATATGCGTGAAAGGGTTAGAACGCTGCAGACCTTGCAGCTGCTGCTTTGAGAGGCTTGCTTCTAATACATGCTGAAGTCATGTGAATTACTGAAGTCTAGTTGAGATTTAATAAAAAAATTCCTTGTCCTATGTCTTTCTTTACAGACTTGCTACAAGTATTACATGAGCGATGACATTAGCCGTGATTCAGATGGAATGGATGAACAGTGTAGGTAAGCGTATAAAAACTGAAGTAACACACACAGATGGTCTATTTCCTTTTATTTGTTTGTTTGGTTTTTTTTCCTTGCAATAATGAAATTATTGACAGATAAAGACCGGTACATGAGAGCTTAATCAACAATTGTTTCTCATCTAGAAATGCTCAACCCGATGTTTTTTGTAAATATTTGATTGTTATTTTAGTATTTAACAGGAAAACGTTTTATAAAGAAATCCAATAGCAAATACTTGTAGGACATCACATTTTTCACTAAATAGCATAGCATAGCACCTAGAATCATAGAATGGTTTGGGTTGGAAGGGACCTCAAAGATCATCTAGTTCCAAACTCTAGATGAAGTGAAACCCTCCACTACACCAGGTTGCCCAAAGCCTCATCCAACCTTACAGATACTTTAAAGATAGGGATAGAATGCAACATTCTAAACCTTGTGAGCCACAGAAACTTAATTTTCCAGATGCATCTCCCACTTTTGAAATGCTAAAGTACTTCTGTGTCCTTATGTTGAGTAGCTGAATGTGTAATCCAGTCAAAATAGTGTGATCTGTGATGCCTATGAGCTTATTAGTCAGCCACTCGTCCGGCCTTCATCAAAGGCTGTGCAATATGGACATGGATCAAAAAACATTTTTTGTTTGTTTTTTTTTTTTCATATATGCCTGCAGTAGTAATATGTTAGTTCAGGCTAGAAAGGCTTAAGCTAATCCTTTTTGCTGTAAAATAAAAAGTAACATTTTTTGAAAAAAAAAAAAAAAAATTCTCAGAAGAAACATGGAAAATGAAATTTAATTAATTTTTTTATACTCTTTAAAATTGGTGCTGAAATTGTGTTTGGATGTTACCATTTCAGCTTTGTGAACTGTTAACCTAACAATTTTCTGACTTTCCAATTCTTAATTGAATGTTTTTCAGTCATGCTTTGGTTATTTTTTTTCAATTAATGGATCTCTGTTTATCACCCGAATTGTTAAAATGCAAATTCTTTCTCAAAAGTTGAAAAATAGATAAAATTCTCAAATTTGTCACTTTGTTGATATGGAGAGAAGACTCTTACGTTTCTTGTGTCTCATTTCAGGTGGTGTGCTGAAGGTGGAAATTTGATTTGCTGTGACTTTTGCCATAACGCCTTCTGTAAAAAGTGCATTTTGCGCAACCTGGGTCGAAAGGAGCTATCGACTATACTGGATGAAAATAACCAGTGGCACTGCTATATTTGCCATCCAGAGCCTTTGTTGGACTTGGTCACTGCATGTGACAGTGTCTTTGAAAATTTAGAACAGTTACTGCAACAAAACAAAAAAAAGATCAGAGTCGAAAGTGAAAAAAGTAAAATATATGACCACACAGTCAAGTTTTCTCCAAAGAGAAATAATTCCAGTTGTAATGGTGAAGAAAAAAAACTAGATGATTCATATTCAGGTTCACTAACGTATTCTTATAAAGCACTTATGGTGCCAAAAGACTTGCTTAAGAAAACAAAAAAGCTGGTTGAAACTACAGCAAATCTGAATTCTAGCTTTGTAAGCTTTTTGAAAAACGCGGCAGAAAATGTAGAAATAAGCCCATCTGTGCAACTTTGTCAGCTAAAAGCTTTTAAATCTGTGTTGAGTGACATGAAGAAAGCTCATCTGGCACTAGAAGAAGGTCTGAACCTGGAGATTCAAGCTTTGAATGTTAAAATCAAAGACAAAAATACCAAAGAGAAAAAACCTGATGTTCGATCAGACAAAAATGAGGTGAAAAAAGGTGAAGGAAAGGAACACGTGGCATTAAAAGACAATGACACTGTAAAGACACAGAAAAAAGTTATATCCGAACGGCCCGACGGTGAGCCTATGGATCAAAGTGTTCCAACAGCGGAACAAGCAGATAACAAGCGCACTTCTGGCGAAGATAAAAGGTCTGGCAGAAGTGAAGAACCTCAGTATGAACCTAATAGTACAGAGGCTTTGGACATGGATATAGTGTCTATTCCCTCTTCCGTTCCTGAAGATATTTTTGAGACTCTAGAATCTGCTATGGAGGTTCAGACTGCATCAGACGAGCAAGACAATGCAAATACAGGAACAGATCATGAAACTCTAAATTCAAACACAAGATCGAACGCTGCTACGAAAGATACCAAAGGTGGTACGAAGTTAAAATCATCAGCTAAAGGAACAAAAGAGTTGGTTGTAAAATTGACTCCAGTTTCCCTTTCAGAGTCTACAGTTAAAGCCGAAGATCAAGACAGCAATCTAGAAAAAGGAAGTAAGGATGTTGATGTACCACCTACAGCAGAAAACTGTGATTCTGTAAAACAAAATCATAATGCTGGCAGTGAACCTTCCACTGAGAATGACGCTGTCTCGCTTGCAGAGGAATCTGACCTCAGGAGATCACCACGTGTGAAGACCACACCTCTGAGACGCCAGACAGACATCAGTCCTTTAACATCGAATTCGGAAGAAGATAGCAATGACACATGTAATGAGAAACGCAAGAGAAAACCATCACAGCAACCAAGGAGGAAAAGTGATAAAAGAAATTCTTCTGACAGTACTGTTGATGGTCCCAGCCCTACTAAACTTTCTAAATCAAAAACGTCGTATGTATTAGATCAGAGCTCAGATTCTGATGAGGTGCCAGCTGTTCTCAAAGAAGTAGCTATGATGAGTCACAGTTCTTCAGATATCGATAGCAATAGTGAAGCACCAACAAATGATCAGAAGACTTCAGATTTTCTAAAGAATCAACCAGTAAAAGATGAAAATGGAAAACGAAAAAGAAAAAGTTCCAGTTCTGGTTCAGATTTAGATGCTAAAAGAGGCAAATCAGCTAAAAATTCTGCTGCTGCTAAAAAGAAACGACAAAACTATTCAGACTCTTCAAACTACGATTCTGAGTTAGAAAAAGAAATAAAAATTTTGAGTAAAATTGAGTCTGCAAAAAAAGCTAAGAAAAAATACTCACGAAAGGAAGATAGTTATGATTCCTCTGAAGAAGAGCAGAGGAAGAAAGTAAGTAGTAAGAGAAAGACAAATTTGAAGAAACAGAGGGATAAATCTTCTGAAGATGATGATGCTGAGAAGTCTTCTCCAGAGAAGGAGATTAATCATTCTTCTAAAGATAAAAAAGCTGGTAAGGGGTCAGCTGCTAAGGAAAGGATAAACAGAGACGTAAAAGAAAAAACTGTAAAGGGAAAGCATGATGAGTCTTCTGATGTTGAGAAGTCTTCGCCAGAGAAAGAGGAGAGTTGTCCTAAAGGTGTAAAGCTAACTGAAGCTAAGAAGAGCAAGGATTTGAAAAAGAAGAAGGAAGATTCTTCTTCAGAGAGTACCGAGAAATCTGCAAAGAAAGACCACAATTTTGATTCTTCAAAAGACAGATCGAAGAATAAAAAAGGATCAGAAAGCAAAGCTAAGAAATCTGAAAAACTGAAGAAGAAAAGTTACAAGAAAGAACATGAAGATTCCTCTTCTGAAGTTGAAAAGTCATCTCCAGAGAAAGGAAGTTGCAATTCTTCTGAAAATGACAAAGCTAAAAGTGAACCAGTGTTTAAAGAAAAGAAAAGAAGGAATTTAAGAGAGAGAGTGTCTAAAAGAGTAGAGATTGATTTATCCTCTGATGCTGAGAAGTCTCCCCTGAAAGAGGAGAGTTCTTCTGAAGACGCTGTGCGGAGTAAAAAGCAAGCTGAAACTAAAGAAAAGAAAAAAATAAGTCACAAAAAGAAAGTTTCCAAGAAAGAAGAGAATGATTCGTCCTCTTCTGATGAGGAGTCTTATGAAGACAGTAAGAAAAAGATTAAAAGAGGGTCAATGAAAGAAAATAAAAAGACTAACTTAAAAAAGAAAGTGTCGAAAAAGAAGGTGGTTGTCACTTCATCTTCCTCATCTGATAAGGAAGAAAATGATGAACAGAATTCAACAGGTGATGGAAGCAGTGATGAGCAGAAAATTAAGCCAGTGACTGAAAACTTAATTTTGTCTGCTGGTACAGGATTTTGTCAGTCATCAGGTGTGCAAAAGATGTTAATCTCCACATATTATTAATATATTAATAGAGGAAATTTGCAAGATTTGGGTAATATTTAATAATCTAGAGGTGAAAATATTCATAAGTAACGATACATTTAAACGTTTGCAGCCAGTTAGGTTTTCTGATACTGATTTGGAAGCACGCGTTTCAGTTTGTGCAGCTTATTACTTACGGGGAAAAAGATGTCACTGTAAATGGAGGGCCTTGAGAAACTGCAGTCTGTAACTCCAGCAGGTATTTCCTTGCAGCACAGCTTTCAAAAGCCTGTTTCTCTCTTTGGCTGCCCCCCAAAAAAGCAGGAAGTTTTAAGCAGTAGGTATCTTGTGAGCTCGTTTCTCAGCTCCTGGTTATGCACTAGAGATGACTCTGAGCACTTGTGGCGTTGTAGGACGTGAAAATCAGGTAGGTGATCTTTGTGCCTTGTGAGACCCATGCAGCCTTAGAGCAGCTGGTGTCAGGTCACAGAGTCTGTCATCTCCTGTTTTCCTAGCAGGTTTCATAGTAATAATTCATTTTCTTGCCAAGATAGAACTACGTCATCAGTGTCTCACAGTTTTGGAAAATTTGAAAGAAATTCAGAACTGCGGAATTTGAGCACTTTCTGTTAAAGACCTTAAAAAGGAAGGTTAATGAACAGTACACATAGAATCATTTAGGGTGGAAAGAACCTTTGAGATCACTGAGTCCAACTATTAAGCCAGCACTGTCAAGTCCGCCACCAAACCATGTCCCCAGTGTCCATTTATTAAAAACAGGTCCAGCCTATGTTTTTAATAAATAAATTCTCAACTAGAAAAAGTGAAATCTATTTGCCGTTTTAATTACTGTGACATGTAAATTGTTTCCTGTTTGTTGCTTCTAATGGTGTTTCATAGCACTTTCTGTAGATGACCTTACTGTAACTGTTGGCACAGACGCAGTAGTTTGCAAAGCTTTAACTAAGCAAGAGATGAATAAAACAGCAGTACGTTTATGAGGGTAGCAGAAGGGACATAGTTGCATTTTTGGCTTTTCCAAAAAACCCTTGTAGGCAGACAGGAAATGCAAAATGAGATTATTGTTATTTGCACTTTCTTAAAAAAACCCACAAACCAAAACCCCATCCCATCCCACCTCAAACAAACAAAACACCTTGATTTTAAATTAAACATGCTGTTCCTCCTTTTTTCTTCCAACTTGATGCTGACGCACTTTTTCCCTAAGTTTTCCTGCAGCTTAGCTTCCGGAGAGTTGTTCATCTTAGCAGATGCAAAGGTTGCTTTTCACAGGTGCTGTGCTTCTTTTGATTTAGAGCCCTGTAAGGAAGCAAAGTTTGATTTATGGTGTTTTGCATCATTGTAGACTAACAGCTGGAAAATAAATTTCTTATTCTCCGTATTATACAGCCCTGTAATGTTTGTTTTTCAAGTCCTCTGATGAAGTAAGTTTAGATGCATCTCTGTGCTTGTAATACCTGGGACTTTTAAGACTTTTCCGTGATGGCTGCCAAAAGAATGTTTTCCCCAGTGATGCCAGTGCAGGGGGGGATTTGCAAATAATGAATGGTTTGCATAGTAATGAACTAATATCTTGTCATGTGTGGTAGCTACCACAGCTGTTAAAACACTCCCCATAGATAGACAGTTGATTGTACTCAGGGACAGTAACTCCTCTGCAACAGTTCTCAGCATCACTGGGCCATCAGAGAAAAATACTTCAAAAATAAAATTGCTCACGTGCAGTGTATGTTCATAGACTTGGTATTAAAATGGCCCAGGAGGAAAAAGTTGGTTGTAATTTAGCAGAAGGTGTCTGAGGCAGTGGGAGTGATTGTTTCATTTGCAAGTCACAAGTGGAAAGATTGGATAATTATTGGATTGAGAGATGGAATAATAGTGTACAAATTGGAAAAAGGAGATGGTAATGTGGGATGATTGACAGTGGAGTTAGAGTGAGAGAGAAGTGGGTTGGTTTAGCCTGGAGAGAGAATGCTAAAAATGGGGAGTCTTAATTGCTGTCTTCTAATCACCTAGTTGTAGAGAAGGCTGAGCCAGATGCATGACGAAAGGATGAGAGGCTGCGGATACAACTTTTGGCAAGGGGAGCTCTGATTAGATACTAGGAAAAAAATCTTTACATTGAGGGTGGTCAAAGCCTGAAACTGGTTGCACTGTGGAATTTTGGATCTCTGTCCTGGGAAATACGCAAAACTCGACTGGCCAAGGCCCTGAAAGAACTGACCTCACTTTGGAGTTTGAGGATGGAGTTGGAGTAGGTCTCTTCCAACATGAATTATTGTATGACGCCATGAGAATCTGCCTTTGTTATAATATTTTAAGAGGAGGCAAACTTGCCCTTTCTCTCTATTTGCCTTTTTTTTTTTTAACCCCTGTGTCTGAACAAGCTATGCTAGTAGATCATCAAATGAGACTTAGAATCTGGTTTAACTGACAGCATATTTCTGTTTATCCTAAGCCCGAGAGTGAGGGACTTCCTACCTCTTACTCACCTGTTACCCAGCCCTGTCGGACCACTGGCTAGTGGTAATTCCAGGCCAAGTTACGTTAGAAACAGCTTGGAGCAAGCCTCTCGCAGCCTAGTTTTGGTCCACCACCCACAGGTAGAAAATAAACAGTGGAGAAGATGAACGAGGCGTCTCAGTTCATGAGGATTTCGAGGTCTCTTTTCCTAAGCTTAGTTTTAGAAGATTTGCCTGCCTTATCTGTGAGTCAGAAGAATGAGAGAAAAGGGAGGAGAAAGGGCCTGGGAATGTGCTAGAGATAATCTGAATTCCAGCCAGAAGAGTGCAGAGCAGCTTCAAAGGCAGCTGTGCACCATTTCTACCCCTTCTCTGTGACGTGTCCCGTGCCGTTGGCTGGGATGTGCGTTTCCTATGAGATGGTACCCACGTCGTGCAGCTCGGAGCTGATGTTTGCAGTGAGGGTGGCACGTGCAGTTTTCAGCACATGAGCGTTCACACATACCCAGCCAGTGTACATGCGTTGTGTTTGATACTCTGAAAGCAGAAATGGGCACGGATTATTGTTCTGGAGAGCTTCTGAATGGCAGCAGGGTAGCTCGTAAGTTTGGTAAGTGAGCCGGTAATACATTCGTTTGGGCCTTCGTCACCGTTCACACAAATTCAGTATTGGAGCTTCTGAAATGGAGCTGATGACTTCTTAGGAAGCTGAATTTCTGAATCCTAAGTGGAATATTCAGTGTCTGTATGTTTTGGTGTAAAAAAACCCTCAAATTTTGCAGTATGCAGTAAGGAAAGCATTGCAAGTTGTGTGTAGTAGTAAGCGTAACATGCATAAAAGTGCTGCTTGAAAACTAGATACTTTTATTAATAAAAATATTTAATTTTTATGTCAATGTAGATAACTGACTTTTTTGGTGGCTAGTAGAAAAGTCATATTGCCAAGCCATTTTTATATGGGGGTTCTTGATGGAGACAGTATTCGTGCGCTGTGTTATTTATTGCTGATTTTACATGCGTTAAGCGTTTTCTGCTTTTTTGTTTCCCCTTCCTCCCCAGGAGATGAGGGAGAGACTAAATCAAGGGCTGTTCCAATGGAGGAGGAGGATGATGATGATGACGACGATCCTGAGAATAGGTATGATACCATCCATAAGGACTTAAAAAAGATTATAACACACCCTAGGCGTGGGCGCAAACCGGCGCAACGGAAGAGCAAGCAGGTTGTAAAAACCACGACTGCCTGCCTTGTAAAGACTCGCTCACGGGCTTCCCGCAAGTTTGACCAAGGGGCCAGAAAGCAGAGGCCAAAATCCAGAAATGCAAAGAAAGCATTGAGAAGTGTTAGCTAACACACCTTGCGTAGGGTGTGTTATAAACGCACTGCAGCACTGTCCGTTCTGTGTTCCCGTTGAAAGGATGAGTTTTGTGACAAGTAGTTCGTTCAGGCAGGTAAAAACCTACTTCTGATAAATGTGAATTTCAGCTAGTTCTGCGAATAGGAGGAAAAAATTTGCATCTGTGCAATATGCAGTGCTAAAATCTTTTTCAGATCGAACTTGGTTGTTACTGTTACATAATTTGCTTTTTTAATTGAATCACCTTTTCTCAAAGAGAAAACACAAACGTAGAGAATACAGTATTAGATATTTTCAGCTGTTAATTAAACTGAGTTTTAATCCACTAAGGAGTACCTGAAGCGACTCACATAGTTAAGGCCCTGATTCTGCAAGCACTGTGCATAGGCTCAACTGGCATCAAAGAGACTAATGATATGTATAAATTTTAAGTCTTTGCATAGGTATTTCAAGAATCGTGGCTTATATGTATTGCTTCAGTTTCAAGTTCAATAAAAATGAATCTCTGTAAGATAGAGTTAGTTTAAGCCATGTCATATTTTACCCGTACCATTGTAGTTACCAAAATTAGCCTGGCTAGAAAATGTAAAAGCTTCATTTCCTAATGAGTGAATGCACAATATGAAGTATTGCTCAACTATGAGCCACAGTTGCTTTTGGAAAGTTATTGTAGTTAGACTAAAGAGTTGTTAAACAAATTTTTATGCAGTGTTTCAGAAACTGATTTTTTTTTTTTTTTTTTTGCCATAAAGCACGTATGGGACCAGCTTCATAGCTTTGCACAGTTGCTGGTGGAGTCTTTTTCTGCTTCTGAGCCTTACTAGTTTTAGAACATGGTATCTTTGTTTCAGAGAGTTTAATGTTTTGATCTATGGCTGAAGTAAATTTTAAAAACACTTTTATATCCTCTACGAAGCTCAGTTTGGCATCAAAATGTTGCTGCTGATGTAGTTCTTGCTTGTTTTCAGTCATCGGATTTAATCCAATAATTCAACTTTTAAAGAAAGATGCTCTTTAGGGACTTGACAGCACAGGGTCATAAGCAGAACATGTAAATATTGGTAATATGAGATTTTTTTTTAAATGATACTTTAATTTCAGTCCTATTGATTTTTTTCCCCTCCCTTCTTTATTTGTTTCTTAAGTGTTTCTGATTGATAACTAAACCAATACAATTTTGTCAAAGCTCAGTGTTTACCCTATAAATGTTACTGACAGACCTTAATTATTAGTTTAAGAGCTATATTGGGAAATGAGTTAACCCAATTGATAACAAACAAATCAGTAATATGAATTTGGGGTTTAAAAATCAGTTTCTGTACTTTGTTTTTAAGCTGAATCTTTGTCGAAGATTTTATTTAGGGAATATTTCGAATACATATTTATGAGATGAAAGGTATTTTGTCAATAAACAGTTTTGTCAACCTTCAGACATGTTAACTGGTGACTGCAGTCTAATTTTACATTCATCATGCGTTGTACTCGGCACCAAAATCAGATACATAAAATGTAAAAAGATGGAACAAATTTCAAGAAGTTAAGAGCTTGTTCTTCTGTTTACTCAACACAAAGTGTTTAACTAGTTTACCTACTATTCAGATCAGTTGCCTATTTTCTTCCAGGCCAAAGAGAATACGTAGTACCCACGGGGTATTGTAGTGGGGGAACTCTCATGTTTGCAAGTCGCTAGTTTAGATGTTCTGTTATTTGCATACCTTTGGATGTGCATGACATGAATATTAATAGTCTTGAAATCATCTTTGCCAAGATGCAATATCCAAGTGGGTCATAATATGACATACAGTACTGTATGCTTTCATCTTATATTGTGTAATGATCTATTATTGGTCCTTCTGATCTTTTAAATGGTACTGTTTAATATGTTTGCAGTAGTTTTGTTTATTAAGAAGTTAATAGTGTATTTAATGCAGAATGCCTTTAAGTATTTGATGGTTGCAATAAATTTTTGTAAAACGTTTTTCTTGTCCAAGCATTTAATTTAATACAACTCTGACAGCTTGAAAATCAGACTGTTTCAACGAAGACAGTACAGTGTTTAGAACAAGGTGTTCGGCAGTTTTCACTATTTTTTTTCTTTAACATTTATGACATTTCATCCAAATATTCATCTCTTAAAATATACTTTGAATGGTTCTGATTTTTTTTTAGTAATATACCACAGGCTCATTTAACTCAGTAATGCTCTAGCTGAAAGAATGGTGGCTTTTATTAGCCACATAAAATGTTCTCCCCCCGAGGCTTGTTTCAGGCAACCTTATTTCTACATATAATTAGAAGGTATTTATGAACACTACGTGTGAGTCGATATAATATAATCGGTAATAATACGTCATGATAATTAGTATTTAAAATTGTGACCTGTTTAAGAAGAAAAATGATTTTCGCAGTGGTAGCATTGTCTCACCAAGATTTTCGACAGTCTTTAAATGAGCCTATTGTTGACACCCTAAACTTCATGAACAAGAAGGGTGCAAATTATCATGTGGAATTAACGCCACATCATGAGAGGCTGCACCTACTGTTCCATTTTTGCTGAAATGTCTGAAGGATAATTTACAGTAATCCTGTATTGTGACTTAAGAAACACATGGGTAACTTCAGTTTGCCTGTCTGTTTGAAAATGTTTTCTTCTAGCATGAGTTAAAAAATACACAGTAACCAGTTCATTATTTACCAGTGTATTTTGTTGGTGTCATTCTTACAAAGGTGAAATTTGTTTAAATCCTGATTTGTATTAAATTATACATATATACTATTATTTTATTCTAGAGTTGGTTTTGTATGTCCTGGTTGAGATTACAGTCACATTCTGTAAGGCACTGTAAAAATTCGTGGTGGGAAAACGTCCGTTATACAAACCTCCCGATGCCTTTGGATGAGACGGAGTGGGGCGAGGCAACGTGGCATGCTCAAGGTCACAGCAGATCAGTGGCAGAAAGGAATGAAATGCAGGGATTTTTAAAATTCCTTTTTTTTTTTTAACTACCCGAAGGCCAGTGCCCAAGGCCAAACAGCTCTGTGTGCTTCTGAATTACACTTGTTTGTGGTGTTCAACTGTTACGTCTGGTTGGCTGCGAATATCTTCTATGTCCTTGACCCACGTGAATGTTAACGATATCTTCTGGTTTTCCTGGGTTTCTCTGGGAGAATGTGAGCGAGGGAGTTTTCACACTGTCGTAGCTTGCTTGGCTTGGTACTGGCAGTTGGGTGTTCATGCAAATAGGAAAATGTTCAAGCTAGCATGGCAAGTTTCTCAGCTTAGAAAACTGGTCACTTTAAATGGGTTTATATCTTAAAGTAGAAATGTGATATATTATTCTGAGCCACATATGATTTAGTTTAAAACCAGTTTCCAGAGTCCAGTACTCAATTTATTCTAATTCATATAAACCATTTGTGACATCGGTCATTTGTCAGATGCGTTATCTGTTTGGTTCTAATATTGCTCACAGTTGTAGTTCCTATCAGACAGGCAGTTCCATTCAAAATAGCCATCTTTTAAATTCTGAGTGCCTCAACAACTTCTTCCCTTTTTAGCCTAACATCATGCCAGTAGAACGCGTTGAAGACAATGTTGCTTTTTCCACTGAACAAACAGCTCCATCTCAGTTTGATTCCAAGTGGTTGAATCCTTTTTGTAGCTTAAAGATATGTCTTAATTTTTCATCTCAGAGTAGAAAAGTAATAACTTACTATATTAAATAATTAATTAGAAGCTAATAAGTTTACCCAGTGTGATTAGTGGTTGTGACGATGATTAGTAGGAACATAACAGCATCTTCTGTTTATGGATAGTAGGTTTTGTGCATGGCGTTTTTAGGTGAAGGATACGCTTGCTTTTTTTTTTTTCCTCCCCCTTAAAAAATTTTTTCATGAAAGAACAAATAAAAACGTATGTCTCTTGTTAAGAATCAAAGTCAACTTTTGTTTAAAAATACATAAAGAAATTTTTAAAGATGACTTGTATGAAAGGTAAGTATTGTTATCTGCATACAAGTTGTGTTAACTTTGCTAATGCAATTGAGGACAATTCGAAAGAACTCGCAGTATTAGTAGGCAGTACTTTCAGGATTGCATTTTCAAATTTTGCAGTTCTTTTTAAAGTTTTTACTTTTTTTTCCTCTTCCAAAGCAAAACTTTGGTGATGATATAGTTATTTTTGAAACAAGAAGAGTAGTCAAACTGCTGCTGTCTGCGTTTCCTGGGGTAGTATTCATGGTTAATAGTTTACATTGAAAGCTTTTGAAAAAGAAGCCAAACTGTGGTATTCCAAGCAGTTTCATTTTGAAGAAAAAGTTCTTGTGACCATTAAGAGATGGAAGAAATATAGCTTTAATTTCAAGCAGTTTCATTTTGAAGAAAAAATTTTTGTGACCATTAAGAGATGGAAGAAATATAGCTTTAATTTCTTATATAAGGAGCTATTTATTCCTGTTGCTATTATACGTGATGTGGTGGGTTTTAAAAAAACAAACCAAACAAAACCCCACTAAGTCCCTTTTACAAATCCTCTGGAAGGACCCTAACACAAAAATTTGGAGGAGGGTGTTACTTATCTATGGACTTTAGTAAGTTTTCATTGGGTTCACACTGTGATCTGTTGATATATATGGAATTACAGCTCTCCAAGAGTACTGCATTTTAAAGTTTTAGTCAGATATTTCTTTGCAAGCCATTTTTCAAAAGAGGGGGGAGTGTTTTGGATGTTGCTGGATAATCTGTGACTCACTGAGCAATCTTAAATGTTTATTAAACCATTTTAATTCCATCTTTCAGTAGTAGTTGAGTATACGTTGCTTCACCTACTACAGCATCTCTCTTGCAGTAGGCAGTTAGCTTGCCTCTGTGTTACTGTTCTATGCAGAGGTAGGGTAACAAGTTCTTTTTTTGAAACCTGTGAGTTAATGCACATGGCAATAATCGTTTTCTCCTTGTTTAAAACGTGTTCAGTGATACACTGTTTTTAAAACTCTTACTGTTCCCATGTCACTAGTCATGTATATTCAGTGCCTCAGGAAATTAATCTCATTGATTTGAATCAAGTGAGCATGATAACTATTTTTGGGGAGAATGATTTGAGTATTAGGATTTGATTTGTAGCATCTTCACCTTCCTGTTGCAGTTAGAATTCAGCTAGGTGCCTATCCCAGAGCTGACAAGAGTCCATCCAAATAGACCATAAATAAAATGAAATGTTTGCGTTTGTACATTCTATAGCTATCTCCAGTCTTGCTGTAAAGCATGAAACTTCTTTTTTAAGAAGCCTTATAAAGATGCGCTTTCTAAAAGCAAATTAACACGTTAACATTTAACATGAGACTTTTCATCATGTGTCTTTTTTTTGTTCAGCTTTCAACCCTTCTTTTGAAGTTCTGAATCGTATAGGATTACGCTTATCGTTCATAGATTTACTTGAACAATGGAATAAATAGTTTTTTCTGTTTTACTTCAAAGAATTGCCAAGAAAATGCTTTTAGAAGAAATCAAAGCCAATCTTTCCTCTGATGAGGATGCATCTTCAGATGATGAGTCGGATGAAGGAAAAAAGAAAACTGGAAAGCAAAATGAAAACACAGGAGATGATGGTGAGCACCAAAAAGCCTCTGGGAAAAAGTGGTGCTGTAGTGCCTGTCGTAATTTCAAAGGTCACTTGGGAAGATTATAATTATTAAAGTTTCTTCAGTTTCAAAAAAAAAAAAAATGTCATTGATGTTGATAGGTAGCTGCCAGATAGACCAATGTACATGATTGTGAGGATTATAGCCTCTCTTCTATAAGTGTATTTTTTTTGTTAATACTCTGATTTTTGTAACCAATTCAGAAGTCATAGGGATTTGTGAGGAATAATCTTTACAGGACAGCAAGACGTGCAAATGCACGAGAGAAATTTGACTGACACATACAGTCATTGGAACAGACATTCCAAGTGTTCAGGCAGCATAAAATACTTCAAATTGGAGGGAACCAATGGTATGTTGTTGCCCGTGATTTCCTGGAAAAGTACAGAATTTAGCCTAGATTAATTCAGCTTTTAATTCTTGCCAAATTTAAGTAAGAAAAAAAATGACCAGTGTGCATGTTGTACTGACTCTTGTCTCTGACAGAAGAGAATGAAAAGGAAGATAATTCTGATTCGGATTCAGAGGAAGAAGAGTCTAAGAAGCCTCGATACAGACACAGGCTGCTGAGGCACAAGCTGACCGTGAGTGATGGAGAATCTGGTGAAGAAAAAAAGGTGAAACCAAAAGACAAAAAAGAAGGGAAGCGCAGAAATAGAAGGAAAGGTACATTATCCAAACTTTTTTGTCACAGAAAGTATTTGCTTCTGTAAAATAAATCCAAAGCCTATCAGAATGGAGATGTCAAACGCCGTAGTTTTAAAATCTCTGTATAAACTTCCTTGTGTATTAAGTCTAGAATTTTCTTATCCGTGTTTGATAAATAGTTTTATTTAAAACGTTGAATACAAATGCAGCTCTCTCCACTTACTGAATCCTCCGAATTGGATTCATGTTGTTGAGTCTTAGAACATTAACCTTAAATAAGAGGCAAGCCCAGTGTGCCCAGTTTGTGACCATCAGTCTCGTCCTTGACGTAAGTTCTCTGTAACCTGGGCTGTTCGTAGGCCCTCGCGCAGCAGAAATTTCTCCATCCTGGAATTTAAATGTTGCAAGCTTTAGCTGAACACCAGGTGGCACTGCGAAATGATGCTTGACGGGGATTTTTCGTTTTCATTGTTGCATGGAAGAACAAAGACTCTGTCAGCCCCTGGCACATAATCATTGGGAGCAGAGGAGAGGAGCGGTAGCAAAGCTAAACGCTCCGTGCCACGTTGGTCCATGTAGGTGTGGATAGTGTTCCTTGGCCAGTGGGAGTAAGGGTGTACACAACTGTCCTGTTCTTAGTGTTGGGTTGGAACTAGAGGGTCTTTAAGGTCCTTTCTAACCCAAACCATTCTATGGTTCTGTGATCTTTTGTGGTGTTCCACAGGCTGAAAGATGCAGTGCGATTTATTTATTGTTTTCCTTATTTTTTTTTCCTTATTTTAAGCCTTGTTATTCATAAAACAGTTAAGCTTTCCTCTGTGTTCAAGGTCAAACTGAAATCGTAAAGGTGCTAAATGGCATGCTGGTCTAAATTACCTATAAATGTCAGTGATAACTCCTAAAAGTAGTTATGGTAGTATTACCTAATGCTGCTATTTTAGGTGTATTTTTAATTGTTTTTTGAGTCAGTTCTAAATTTGCATTCCCTGAAGAACCTTCAAGCCATAAATGCAGTAATATAATTACATATGTTGTTAGTAAATAAGAGTTTGTTTGCATGAAATGTGAAGTATGATTCTAAAATTACATGTAAAACATGTGAAACAAAAGTTTCTGCTTAACTAAAAATCATCTTTTGTTTTCTGAAGTTCTGTAGTGTTCCCCATTGTGTTCTCTCCGCCTCACCCACTGTCTTTGAAATGTGGTGCTTTCTAATATGATGCTTTCTGTCATTTGCTTGTAAACTGTTGGGTATATTCATGCATAAAGACCTCAGGTCTTGTTGGCATAATATGCCACCTGTCAGGACTTGGCTAGTGCTTACACGTTAAGCTTTTCTACCCTGTGCCCCTTATATTCCTGTTGCTCTTATTAGTATGTTTAATGGGTCCCATACTGTCTGAAACGAAGTTTCACAGTGCTTGGGGGTCTTAAACAGTTTGTTGTATAGTTAGAAGTGATGTGATGTTGCTGACTTTGCAGTGATATTCAACATGAAATCGTACTTTGTTTTTAAAGTGAGCAGCGATGATTCAAACGACTCCGAGTTTCATGAGTCTGCAGTTAGTGAAGAAGTCAGTGAGTCTGAAGATGACCAACGTCCAAGAACAAGGTATAAATAAAACTGAACTGTGCTTATCCTGTGTTTGGTTCTTGGTTTTTAATAGTGCAGTTTAGGCAGTGAGAAGGAGAAAATCAAAGGGTTTGCATTAGTCCTTAAAACCGTTGCTGACGCTTGTCTATAATTTGGTATCTGCTAATTAACTTCAAATGTGGGAATTTTGAATTTGTACCACAGTATGTAGCACACAGCAATTCGATGAGCCGATACGAAAAAGATTAACGAAAAATGAGCGTTTTTATGCCAAGTATGTCAATATCAGTTGAGGAATGGTGGATTGCAGTAGGAAGCGAATGCTTAACAATTCAGAGATTCTTCAGGCTTGTTTGAATAGAGCGTTGCTATGTGCATCCAGTGAGTTGAGGGGGAAGAAGGAATTTGCAAGTAAACCCCTGATTGCACAAAAGGAATATATATTCTATTAATTAGCAATATAGTTCATGTACTTTTTTAATGGTTGTTTTTCAGTGAGGCAATGAATTACTCTGTTAATCAGTAAGAATGCCTTTTTTTGCCTTTTTTTTTTAAATAGATCTGCCAAGAAAGCTGAGGTGGAAGAAAACCAGCGCAGTTACAAGCAGAAAAAGAAACGAAGGCGTATAAAGGTTCAAGAGGATTCTTCAAGTGAAAACAACAATAAGGTACTATATTAGGTTTTGAATTAATGAAGGGGAAAAGGAGTTCCTGTCTCTTCTGCCAGCTGGTTAGGGACTTGGGTATCTGAAACAGCTCTGTACTAAGTACAGTAAAAAATTACAACTTTTCTCAATGTTAATTCAGTGCTAAAATTTGCAAAATGGGACCATTATGGAGAAAACACATTGCGTTTAACTAAAACCACTTCCTGTCTAGATCTTGATAAAAATACATGATATCTTTTAAGTAAATGGAATTTTAAACTAAATGTAGAAGGTGACACAAATAGGAGATTAAGTTTTTCCTAGTATTATGGTTTCTTTTCTTAAGTGGAGTAGGTGTTAGGTGAATTGATGTAGCACCACTAGAACAGAAAAATGGTTCTTTATTAATAGTTATTAGTTACTATCAAATGATAACAATACCTTCAGTACTGCCTTTGTACAACTGGGCTTGTCTTTAATATCTCAGAATACTTCATAGTTCAGGTGACACTTTCTTTGTCATGGTGGCCAACTTGTTTTAAAAAAAAGTATCTTTTTTCTCATGAACTAAACTCCACTTGTGTATAGAAAAATTTATTGGGAGCTTGTCTAAAAATGAAGGACTTGATGGTCTGTGCCATAATTTTTTTTGCTAATAATTAATTTATTTGATTTGTAATAGAGTAATTCCGAGAATGAGGACAATGATGATTCAAAATCTCCTGGAAAAGGCAGGAAGAAAATAAGGAAAATTATAAAAGATGATAAGCTTAGAACCGAAACACAAAATGCACTTAAAGAAGAAGAAGAAAGAAGAAAACGCATAGCAGAAAGAGAACGGGAGAGAGAGAAACTGAGAGAGGTATGTTCTGTTGTCTTTGCAAAATGCTAGGAAGTTGAATTGTTGATGATGTTTAAGACAACACGTTTCTACCTCAATTTAATTTGGTAAGTAATTTTAAAAAGTACTTATATGTAGCCTTGTAAGCCACAAGTTTTATCTCTAGTTTCCTGCAGGGTAACGTGGGTAAGTTTTGTTTAAGACTACTGAGATCTTTAGAAAGCTGTTTCCGTTGCCCACTGCTTTACTCTGCATGGGGAAAAGCCCTCTCCCAAAGTCAGGTGTGATGCACAGTACAGAATTTAAGGTTTCATTTCACTAAATAAATTATGACTTCCAGTGTTGCTAAAGCTAATGTCTGTCAAATGCTTGGTGTTATTCACCTGTGAAGTATTCCTGTGACACCCTGTTTCTCCTTACAGGTGATAGAAATAGAAGATGCTTCACCTCTGAAATGTCCCATTACAACTAAGCTGGTTTTAGATGAAGATGAAGAAACCAAAGAACCATTAGTGCAGGTTCACAGGAGTATAGTTACCAGACTGAAACCACACCAAGTAGATGGTAAGGAAAGAAAGTTTTAATGGGTGTTTTTTTGGTGGGTGGTGGTTTTTGGTTTTTTTTTTCAATTCCTTCCCACCTTCGCTACTGGCACAGCTCTTTATGCTACCTGAGTTAAAATTGTTAAGAAAACCTCCTTGGCAGGCAAATGCCAGAATGTCAAGTTTAATGTTTTATTTTTGGAACACCTGAACAAAAGTAAATGAGATCAGGGATGCATAGTTCTGTTTTACAAGAAATTTATCTTAGAAATGTGAAGTTGCAAGGGTCCTCAGAATCATCTAATTCTCTGCACCGAGGCAGAATCAAATATATGTTTACCCATTCTATTGAGGAATTAGTATATTCACTTTTTACACTTTTCAGTGAAGATTTAAGAATCTTGCACTGTTTTCCTGACCTTCTCAACAGTTTTTTTTTTTTTCTGATACCTGACATGACTGCAAATCAAGCCAGCTTCTTTACATATTCTGTTACTAGTGAAGGAGGAGAGAAGGAGAATAGCCAATCATTTTATTCCCAGCTCATTCAGTTATTTTAAATATTCCTCAAAGTCCATAGTTTAAAACCTTTCCATTTTACTAAGAAACTTCTGGACTTGCTTCAGCTCTTAAAGGGGGGTGACCTGAACCAGACACAGCAATCAAGTTGAAGCCTCATCTGTGCTGAGTATGGCATAGGAGAGTACAGCTCCCCAGTAAATACATAGCAAAGAACAAAAAAAAAAATAATCACCCAGCAGCATATATTTCCTTTCCTTTTTCAGCTGTTGCAGTTCGTTCTTGATATCTTTTTCCTCTCTAAGCATAGAACGTCACATATGATTGCCCAGAGAGGTGGTGGATGCTCCATCCCTGGAGACATTCAAGGCCAGGTTGGACGAGGCCCTGAGCAACCTGATCTAGTTGGAGATATCCCTGTTCCTTGCAGGGGGGTTGGACTAGATGACCTTTGAAGGTCCCTTCCAGCCCTAACCATTCTATGATCTGTCGTGGCAGAATTTCTGCTGGTTAATTTCAGAGAATTTTGCTACCCTACCAAGATCATTTTAGTCTCTTCATGAAGTCCTTGCCACTTTTGTTCTGTCTCATCTTTTCTCCCTGTCCCCAAGATCATAGTCATCTGCAGTCTGCACAATAATATTTTCTAACCTGGTTGCCACATCTTTAGTGAGAACTGTGGATATAATTAAGTTCCAGACAAAGATCATCTCATGTACAACCTGTCGGACAGAGATGAATCAGTAATTATCCTGAGCACTGCTTTTCTGAGAGTTACCATGAACTTACAGTGATCACACCTATCTTCTATCAGGTGAACTTTAATAAAATGAAGGTTGAATAAGAAAATTTTCAATAATTTTCTTCAGGTGTTCAGTTCATGTGGGATTGCTGTTGTGAATCTGTGAAGAAAACAAAGACATCTCCTGGTTCTGGATGCATTCTTGCTCACTGTATGGGTCTGGGGAAAACGTTACAGGTAAGAAACAAAAGTCGCCGTGTTTCCTGGTCTGTAGCTTGCTCTCAAAAGCTGATCCAGCAGAAGCCAATTCTAAGGACTTTCAGAGCGTAGTAAAACTTAACATTTCCTAGGCTGTGACTTGATGAGGGCTGCTGGAGGAAAATGTTTTGTGAAAAGGTCTTCAGAAAGAAATTGTGTTCTGTAGTGTATACAGCTGTGGAAGTTCTGATACCCGCTTGTGATTTGTGCGCTTTTAAAATACCTAAAATTAAATCAGATAATAATTGATATTCGTGTGAAAAGGTCATGTTTAATTGTAAGTGATGTGTCGCTCCCTTGCAACTCAGGACAAGAAAATACAGCTGGTAGGAGACAGGCTTGTGGAGCCTGTCTTTCCAAGACAGTTTTAATAATTGTTGCGTTTTTACTGTCTTCTTCATTCATGTGTTTCTGCTTAAATTACTTGTTTTTCTCAGTGTTTTTTTTTATTTATTTGTTACACTGATAAAATAGAGGTTTATCAGGGTGGGTTTTTTTTAATGCCAGACTTTAGATACTAAAAGTCAGATGCTTTGTGGTTTAATATAAACAATATTTTACTACAATTTAGACTCTTCAGGGTCGAGGGACAGGGAGCATTTGGTTTCTGTTTCCAGTAATTGTCCATATGTACATTCATATTTTTGGGTCGTTGTGCATCACAAACAGTTAAGACCAGAAACTTCCATTGCCTTGGCAGTTAACTACAGGACATGCTTTCAGCCCCTTTTTCAGTTCTTTATTTCTTTTCTTTGGCTTTACAATTCTTTGCTTCCTGAGATCTTCAGATTCAAGCCCTCATTGTCACTTCAGCGCATGTTCCTTCTCCTTTACACTGCTGAAGGCTGCTGTGTAAAAATCTTTAATACAGAATATTGTAGCATTTCTTCAAAGAAAAATTTCCATATTTCTTGATCTGATACAAGTGGCTTTCCTGCTGTGTTAAAAGTTGCACACTGAACAACTTCGCGTTTCTATTAGTCTTTAAAATCTGAAGTTCAATCGCCATCTAAAAAAGTTTCTTCTGAAACCGATCACCTAAGCATTTGCAGTAAAACAGTGCTCATAGCTCATTGTCTTGGGCCTCTTACAATCATTGCAGGCCTCAGGAGAAGCTTATGCCCTTAACCTTCAAAAGAGTTAAAGATTAAAAAAAACCAACGTTTTCTTGAACTGCCTACATCTCAGTAGTCGTGCTGGTACCTTTCCAGGGTAGTCAGGAGTGCTGCATTCCTTTGGTGTTAACCTGTTTCCAAGTATCGATCCGTCTTCATAAGTTTTGGTTTTGAATTTAGCCAGATGTAGCATCACCACAAATATGGTGAGCAAAGAACTGGGGTGAGGTGCCCGTCTTGCTGCTCTGCTGCCTGGTCTGTTGCCAAGAATTCCTTTAGCAGAAGTTATTTGACAGAAGAACCTTTCCCTCTGATTCTGGGAAAGAGAAAGGGAAATTTTTGAGAACTCTGAAGAAGAAAGGAGGGTAACAACCTATCTGTGCTTCAGAAGACTCTCAAAGAAGCAGGGCCACTTTGATCTCCCTGTCGTTGGCCTTCATTGATTCGGTTTCCTCATTTCTGGAGGAGGGAGGTACTTCCCATATCTTTATCAGGACAACTGGCCAGTGAAATGAATTACTGTGAACCTTTTTCATCTGTGGCTTGAGCTGAATCAGTAAAAACCTAACTTGCAGCTTCTGCAGATATCGGAATTGATTAGAGCTGATTTCGACTCAGGATCAATCAGGGCTTTCCTGTGCCAGGAGCGGTTCTTAGCTGTAAAGTCACAGGACAGGAGATCTGCCCAGTGCTCTGGTGAGTTTGTGACCAGCAGGTCGAGAGCACGTTAGCAGCCAGCACTTGCACACTTCATTCTGAACTCTTTCTTCACATGCTCCAAGTATGGATGCGCTTTGCTCGTTCCCTGGAGTGCAGTCTCTTCAGCATGGTGATGATGGTTCTCAAAGAGGTTATTTTCTTCCTACAGTGAGGATGGGATCCTCAAAGCGTCTGTGAGGAAATGCCATTGCACCATCCTCTTCCATCTTGGTCAGTTGTGGTAGAAGCTTCCCCATTGGATTGGGAAGCCTATTGCCTGACCTGAAGGCTCAAGATGTGTTCATTCGTAGAGAGGTCAGTATATCAACGTACTGGAATTCCAAGCTGTATGAAAGATGTCTTGATATTTTTGTGCTGTAGCAAGGGCCATAGTCTGCAAGTGGCAACAGCCAGCTTCTATGATCTTGTCGCTCACTTGGCAAGACACCCGTGTGTTTGGAATGAGGAGTCTCGTAGTTCTCACTCTCTGCAGTGCTCACGTCTGCTTTGCTGGTTGGTGTTTGGCATAGTCAGCACACCTGGATGCTGCTAGATAGCAGACTTGGCTTGGCTTAAAGTCTTTCATCGTTATTTTTAGAGACTTGAAATGTGCTCCAAGAGGAAATCTTCAGGGAGAATCTAGCAGGAGGTGTCTTATTCTTTGCTAGAGTTAGCTACGCCTTACTGGGTCAGATGGCTTCCTTGTCCTTGTGTCTTCCCTCTAAACCATTGCTACCCACTGTTCTTCAAAAAGTGAAGTTACATGAGAAGTACCTAATCCTCTCTCCTGTGACCTAATTCAGACAAACTGTATTTAGGACTTTCTGATCCTGAGAATTGCCTTTCTTGACCTGTGATTGCAGGGTGCAGTCATGGAGCACTTAGACTGGCGTAACGTCTTCAGATTCTTCAGATCCCGTAGATTCCTCTGCAGAAAAACAGACTCAGGGGAATCTAGGAAAGCTTGGGTTTTGTGGTTTTCTGATTTTGGGCATTTTGTGGGGTCGCAGGGTTTTTTTGAGTAACATGAAGCTACAGGCGATCAGAGGGACCGCGATCGTTCTCTGTGTACGGCGTAGGTAAAACAGCCTGCAGCCTCGGTCGGTTGTGGTGCACAGCATGCGGACAGGATGTTTGGAAGAACTCCAGCTGCAGTGGGTATTGCTTTGTTTATGGAAATTGGGGTGACAGATACAGTATTCTGACAATCTACAGCCCTATAGAAGAGGACTTTCGTACATACCTTGAAAATCACCTTTGAAGAGTGTGTTTTTACATGCTTAATTCTAGCTTAGGTTTTACGGTTCTGCAGGAGTTAATTACACCTTTTACTGGAGATTGCAACGTTTTGCAGAGCTGTTGTGCTTTAATGTAGCAGTGCAACCTGGGTGACTTTGTACAGCTTAGACTTTATACACTATGTCCTTCAGTTTGATGAAGTATTTCACAGCAACAGGTGGTTTTGTTTGTGATCCAGATGTGTTCATGACATTCCTTTTGGCCGTAACTTCTTGATGATCAAAGCCACAGTTACAAATACGCATCAGGTATTTTTATGGTCAGTGTTTGTAGCTTAGGTGGTTGTTTTTTTTCTGTACGTGGTCGTTTGCCAGTCCTTCTACTGCACTCTGTAACGCCGTTTGTTGTTTTGCTCTTAAAAGAGCTAAATCAGCGATACGTTTTAGCAGACTTTGCAAACTGCAGAGAAGAATGTCAGTAAAGGATCAGGGAAATAAGGCAATTAGGGACTTGCCAGCTCTCCAGGACATAGGACTTCTGTGATTAGTCTTCATGGGTAGTTCTTGCATCTGCACGTAAGACGCTATTGTCTTGATCACAAAACCACGAGTAATTCCTTTTGTATTGCAGCATCTAAAAGCAGCTTGTTGCCCACCGTTCCAAACATAGCCTCGCCGTTTGAAATGGCTTTGAAGAGTGTATTAAATTAGAGTGGCCAGATAACAAGATTTAATCTAGAAAGAACTTTCTGGAAGTTGTGCAGTTGTGTGGAGTAGAGTGCAGTCTTCACCATTAAAAGTCTGGTGGGGAAGCTGGAGCTGCCATGGGATCACTGGCTCTTGTGCTCCCAAGTTCTTACAGGTTACGTCTAGTCCTGTCTTTATTTGCTCAAAAACAGCCGCCGGTCCAGCAGGAACACTGAGTGACATCAAAGATTTAGTTTTTTTTCCAAGGCTTCATTATTATTATTAATAATAATAAGTGTTGTTATCTGCAGCATCTAGTCAGTCTGGCTACAGGATGAAGACTTGGAAATCATTTCAATAACCTGCTTTAGAGCTCTTTTTAGATAATTTGCCAATATGTTGAAAAAATGCGGAAAACATTGATTGTAAGACTGAAGTTCACCTTCGAGAAACTCGATACATTTATAAAATCCAAAGAAGTGAACTCATTTAATGTTCAGGGTGCGTGCTGGGAGAGGGCTTAAAAATGACCTAGTAAGAAATTTTTAGTTTACGAAAGTGGTGAAAGGTAAAGGGAGGGTTCCTTGTTTGTGAAATCATTCAGCTGTCTGATGTGGCTCAAAACTGTGTGTGTCTTAGTATGGGAAGGACGTACACAGAGTAATAAGCATATTTCATAGATTTCTAGGTTGGGAAAGATCTTAGAGATCATCGAGTCCAACCGTCCCTAATCCCCATTAAACCATATCGCTAAGTAGATCATCCACCCTATTCTTAAACACATCCAGGGATGGGGACGCAACCACCTCCCTGGGCAGCCTATTCCAGTGGCTGACAACCCTTTCAGAGAAGAAATACTTCCTAACATCCAACCTGAATCTGCCCTGACTAAGCTTATACCCATTTCCTCTTGTTCTATCACCCATCACTAATGTAAAGAGCCCTTCCCCCACCTCCCCACCATCTTTTCTCAAGTATTTGTAGGCTGTAATCAGGTCTCCCCTCAGCCTCCTCTTCTCCAGGCTAAACAGCCCCAACTCCCTTAGCTGCTCCTCATAAGTTTTATTTTCCAGCCCCTTGACCAGTTTAGTCGCCCTTCTTTGGACCAGCTCCAGGAGCTCAATATCTCTCAATTCAGCAGCATCTCTCAATTCA